ATCTATCTATCTCTACCTACCAAGCATATCTATCTATCTATCTATCTATCTATCTATCTATCTATCTATCTATCTATCTATCTATCTATCTATCTATATCTACCTACCTACCTACCTACCTACCTACTCTGTCTGCCTCCCTGCCTGCATAATCCTGCGCTATAGATATTTTCTTCCTCTCCCTCCAGATGCTTTCGATAGAGAATACAAGATGGCTTACGATTGTCTCACCGCGAATCAGGTCAGAGGCGGAGGCGCTGTGACCCAGTCCCTTGATATTTCCAGGGCCAGATTTAAGCACCCTGCGGGCTGGACTCGGCTCGCGGCACTTGCGTTTGACTGCCCTGGTATAGAAGATACCCCTTTGCCCATTGAAAACTCACCTAAGAATAACAAGATGAGATGGAGCTGCAGAAAGACGGAAAACGGGACGGTGACTTTCAGCGGATAATTGAGGGTGAAGCTGAGTTTTCCGGTGCTGTTGAAGATAGGAATGGCCTGGATCACGGCGACAGCTAAAAGCAGAAAGGAAAGAGTTAAAAGGCCCTTTGGAGAAGAGCAAAGAACAAGGGTAGAAACCGAGCTAAGCTTCGGAGGCTTGACAAGGGGGAATAGATGCTGCAAAGTCAACATACACCCTCCAGAGAAAGCTGCCTCAGATAAGGCCAACTCAAGTGCAACCTTCCAGTTCGGCTAACTGCTCACCCTGGGATTTCTGAGTGGTCTCCCGCTCTGAGGGTCCATCATCCCAGCCTTCAGAGCCCAGACAAGGCAGACCAGGGGCTGCCAAGCCAAGACTTCCTTCATGATTTCAAAGTTTCAAATGGAACTTCCCAGTTCGGTCAAACCCTGTGGGATTTCTGAGTGGTCTCCCATCCATCAACCCAGCTGTTTTGAGCTTCAAAGGCAGGGCAGTGGCTGCCAAGCCAACCTCTCCACAAGCTACAGCTAGTTCTTAACTTATGACTACGACTGGGACCAGAATTTCCACTGCTAATCAAGTTGCCTGTTAAGTGAACCATGACTGATGTTATGACCTTTCTTGCCAAGGCTAAATGAATCACTGCAGTTGTTAAGTGAATCCGATTTCCTCCTTTGACTGGGCTTGTTGGAAGCCAGCCGGGAAAGTTGCAAACAATAATAAAGTAAAACCTGGGATGCTCAAACCATCTTAAATACCAGCTGCCTGAATTCTCATCATGAGACCTTGAGGATGCTGCAACCATTGTAAGTCCCTTTTTTCATTGCTGTTGTAACTTTGAATGGCTGTTTAATGAATGTTTGTAAAGCAAGGACCACCTGCACTTGTATTTCAGGAGAGAGAGAGAGAGACAGAGAGAGAGAGAGACAGAGAGAGAGAGAGAGAGAGAGGAATAATACAAATAGTCCTCGACTTACAACCAGAATTTCTGTTGTCAAGCGAAACATGTTAAGTGAGTTTTGCCCCATTTTACATGAAATGTCTTGCCACAGTTGTTAAGCGAATCAGTGCAGTGGGTAAGTTAGTGAGCCGGTTGTTAAGTGAATCTGGTTTCCTCATTGACTTTGCTCGACAGAATGTCACAAAAAGGAATCATGTGACCCCAGGACACTGTGACCGTCATAAATATGAGGCAGTTGCCAAGCACCTGAATTTTGATCATGTGGGACCCTGGGAATGCTGCACTGATCATAAGTGTGAAAAGCCATCATAAGTCACTTTTTCCGGTCACTAAATGTCTCACCAGAGCAGTTTATTCATCCCTATTTCTCCCACGTACCTTCTGCCAATATTCCCAGTGGGTAGAGAGGCATCCATAGGCTGTATCGAAGCCAAGTAAGAATTTTCCATTCTATGTCGATGCTGGAAAGCAAATAGTAGGGATACCTAGAAGGAAACCCACAAATATCGGTCATCTCTCATCACTTACCTGGTTGGTGCAAGGAAATGGAGTGGAGTAGCAACAACCATACCCTACATCTCATTGACCAGCACACTGAAAGTGTTAGATGTTCCTTAGTAAACTTCATGTGTATTTTATAAAGTAAAGGTAAAGTTTGCCCTCGCGCATATGTGCTCGTCGTTCCTGACTCTAGGGAGCGGTGCTCATCTCCATTTCAAAACCGAAGAGCCAGCACTGTCCAAAGACGCCTCTGTGGTCATGTGGCTGGCATGACTAAACGCCAAAGGTGCACGGAACGCTGTTACCTTCCCACCAAAGGTGGATCCTATTTTTCTACTTGCATTTTTTACGTGCTTTTGAACTGCTAGGTTGACAGAAGCTGGAACAAGTAATGGGAGCTCACTCCATTACACGGTGCTAGGGACTCAAACCGCTGAACTGGGGACCTTTCTGATTGACAAGCTCAACATCTTAGCCTCTGAGCCTCCGTGTCCCTGTGTATTTTATCCAGGCCTTAAAAATCAAGATTAAAAGTGCAAATTAAAATAAAATGGTTAAGTTAAAGTTGCCCAGAAAAGTTGTGTAAGGGGATTTGGGGGACCCCAAGATGATAATGTAGAGATGGCAACAGGCAAGAATTCTGCAAAGGATTTCAGGCAGAATGGGGGGGGGGGTTGCCCCGAATACCTGATGATCTCAATCGTGCTCCAGATGTAGAAGATGAAGAAGACGACTGCTTTGCTTTGCATTTCTTCCACGCTTCCAAGAACTACAAACAGTATAAAATTCCTCCCAAAGATCTGGAAAGGGGTCGAAAGAGAGGTCAGGAGTGGGAGGAAGGTTTACCCCTTCCAAGATCAGATGCTTCAAATATACACTCCGAACAAGGAACAAACCTCAGTGGGATTCAGCCAAGCTTTTCGTAAGGCTGCTGTCCTCAGAAGTTGGAATGTCTAGGAATTCCCACTTATTTTTGAGATTGGGGAAGCAGATATATTCCTTTTCCCATCATGGAGGTGGGAAAGTTGTTGTGGGAATGATGGAGAATTAGACCTGTGTTGTTAATTCATTCAGCTTCTGTCCCATAAAAACTATACAGCGTAGGATATAGACATAGACAAAACTAGCAGAATGGCAAAAGTGGCTTCAGGGTATAGAGCAGTGATGGCGAACCTATGACACGCGTGTCAGTGCTGACACACGCGTGTCA